TCTGAGGTGACACGCAAGCATGCCCTCCTGGTACCCCATATCCTCTGCTTTCTGGCCACAAGCTGTTTGCAGCATCTGACTAGGTTGTTTACCATACCACTGAAGACTGTCTGATATGTGTCCAGGCTTCCCCGGAGAGCGCCTCAGAGAGCCGTGTCCTGGCAGCTCTCAATGTGTTCTGAAGGTTCCTGAATCTCCTCTTTGCTGCTGGATGCTGGTTCCGATCCATAAGGGAAATGGAAAGCTGGCCAGCTGGGCGAGGGCTGCATGGAGCTCCTCTAGAACAGTAAACAGTGACTCACCCCCTCCTTGTGTCTTCTCTCCCTTCATGTCAAATATATTGCCTCGCATATGCTTCTACTCTCTGATTCACACCATCAGCCCGTCCCTCCCCGCTCTCATTACAAATGAGTGACAAGCGTCAGTCTGCCTTACAGGATGTGTGAAGATTGTCAGAGCAGGAGAATGGCTTCTTGAATGATAGGGAGAAGGATGGTGCTCTGCCTACCATGCTGCAATGTGCTGGAAATCTGTGTCATGCCTCTGAGCAGCAGAGGCATGGCCACGAAGATTTAAGCATCTCTAGTTCCCTTCACCTGTCAGCTCAGATGTTATCCTTGGTAGACACTTTCATTTGGGTAGCGCTTTGGAGCTGGGAATAACTTGTGGATATATGAGAAATTTAACTAAAATAGCTGCTTTAGGATTAAATCACTGCACTTGGGATCGAGTAGAGTATTCTCTGTGTAACTATGATCAGTGGCAGAGATCCTCATTGCTGCTTGAACCTTACGCTGTTTTTCTGCCCTCTGGAAGTCGTTGCTGGCCTGGCTGGAAGTGAGGGTTTCATGTTTTCAGTTTGCTGTATGTGTCTGAGGATGGAAGCTGAACACCAGCAGGGCTGTCTGCCAGGCTCTCATGTTCTCGCCAGGGTTGTCTTGCAGTGTAGAAAGAGTTTTAAGATTTGAGTTCATCCGCAGTTGTCGGGTGTCAGCAGTGACTTGATAGTAATTCCTTAATACGTAACACGCTTTGAAAGCCCTGTAGCGTGGAAAGTCTGAAATCTCATTCTGGCATGTTTTCTTCTTAATTGCAAACCTTGTGTGGAAAGCTCCATCCTGCCTCTGCCGGAGTCAGGCTTTCTACTCTCTTCCCTTTTCAAAGCAAAGGAATGGAGATCTCCAGACTGTCCAAGCCGAGACCATCAGGCTTGGGATGTCAGCCAGAGACCTCCAGGTTTTTGGGAGGATGCTGCAAGAGGCTGAGGAATCGTCTGAGAGAGGGAGAGGGCGTTGGCAAGGCTGTCAATGGGTAACTTTATTGCAGAATTACAAGGGCTCTTTATGTAACCCACAGTCAAAACACTTGCCTAAATACAAGCGTGGAGCTGCGCTGGAAAAGCCTTTGCCCCTTACAGTTGTATTACTACTTGCTGCTTTATTTATGTAGCGTTTGAAACGTGTCGTACCGCTTAGAGAGCAGCGATGTAATGCGGTCCTTGTTCCAAAAAAGCTGAGCTCCTAATTTTAGATGTGATGCAGCAAACGCAATTAAGAAAAGAAGGGCAGGCATAGGGGAAAGACTAAAAGGGTTCTAATAATCAAATCGCAGTCAGCGTCCCAGCAGACCCCTGTGCAGCATGTTTAGGGAATGCTGCTGGATAGGGCATGTTTGCAGGATGGTTTAGGATTTTGTTGTGGGGGTTTTGTCTTCTAACTGTGGGAGATGCTGTGCTTATTTCAGTTGGTAGCTGAAGAGTCCCAAATAGTCCTGATGGGAAGGATTTTGTAGGTGGAGAGATGGAGCCTGAGGCCCCAGAGGACTGTTGGTGAGGGTTGCAAGTGTTGTATTGGTTTTGAGCCCTGACCACACCTGTGGGTTCACCTAGTGCAGAGATAAGACTCACTCTGGCACTTGTGAGAGTGCAAGACCTGAGCTTGTGTTTCTACTTGGCACTACCAAATCCTGCCCTTAGGGTTGGGGCAGACCCCAGCCTCCCACCCGTGTGTGAAGAGGGCTCAAACCTCATGATTCCCTGACCTCACAATTCCCCAACCTCCTTGCTCATCTCTGTGCCAGCAGCGGCTCTGGTGCAATAGGATGGATCCCAGTCCACCTCAAAGGGATGCGGGCCCATCCAGGGTGCTCTGGTGTGCAAGTGGAGATGGGCGTGCAGCACAAGACCGCCTGCTGAGGAACGTGCAGGGTCAGGAGATGTAGCTCTGACGACATGGAGCAACAGGTGACCAAAAGGGTTTTGTCACATGGAGCCGGATCATCACTGGGGTGGCAGGCGAGCCCACACGCCGACCCCACTGGAGGCAGCCTCACCCCTCAGCTCTTGTTTTCCATGATATTTTACGTTTCTTTCCATCTCGGCGCAGCCAAGCGGCCCTGTTCAGTTTTTCCATCGGCTGGCGTAGAAAGTGCTTTGAAGACACGCTGGGTGAGGATCAAAAGGGTTTTTTTGTGTAATTGGTGGGTGTGACGGGTCTGCTGTCGGCCGCCCCCTCCTTTTTGACTTTCCTTTTCCGGTTTTAGCAGCGCGGAGTGCCGGCAGCGTGCCCCTTTCCTTGTAGGGATGGGGGCGGCGAGGGAGGGGGGGATGCCGAGGGAAGGAAGAGTTTCTGATGCTGTGGGAATGTGAGCTCTCAAACTCTGTAAACAGCTGGTGAATCATAAACAGGAG